GGGGAAAAAGGAGCGACCTTTTTCAAAACCCCCTTGTTGCCCGGGGTTGTTTTAAAGGAGGGGTTTTTCTAGATGGGGTGATCTTGCTTCTTAGGACCCTTTCAAATTTTTTTTATGATATGGGATGTTATGCTATGGGTTGGGTGTTCTTTGCTGTTGCTTTTACTCCCCCCTTTTTGGAGGGGGCCTAGTCTGTTTTTTTTTAAGTAACTGAGGGACAAACCCCCGTGTCCAGGCCCCCTCTCCATAGGAGGGGAAAAGGCTCGTGATAGGGGCTTTTTTGCAGTTCTTGATGAACACAGATTTCCATGAGTCTGGCCCGGGGGCAGAGGCATGGGCTTTGTCTTTTATCGCCTGTTCGAATTTCCTTTTTGGCGTCGGGAAAAACATGGGATGGCTTGTTTAATCAAATTTTTGGCTCTCTCAAAAAAAATTTTCTTTTTGATTTGACTCTAAACCCTGGTTGCGGCTTGCAAAAAACTGGTCAAAATTGGGGGCTTGAGTAGCTCACTCATTTCCTTGCTGCCCATCTGTTTTGGACCCTTTCTTGTGTAGTGGGGGGGCCAATACGGGGCGTTGTTCTCGTTTTTGAGGGGGCCCATAGGAAAAGAAATATTTTTGGGTTTCTTTCGTTTTTCATTTATGGCTTTTAGTTTTTTCCCCGCGTTTCCCCTGACCTAAAGGATTCTTTTAGTTTAAAAGTTAAATGCTTGCTTTTTCTCTGACCAGTGTCTCCCGCGCTTTTCAGTTATTTTTGCCCCTTTTTTTTCCGCTCTGTTTTTTTTTCCCCGTCGCCTGTAAGGGGGGCCCCGGGCTCTTTCTTTTTTTACATTTTACTCCCCCCTTTTTCTTAGAGGAATAAGCCTTGTGCATAACACCCGGTGCCACCGATTTAAATTTTTCTGTGCTAGGCCTAAGTTTGGGGGCTTGTTGCCCTTTTTTAAAATTTCCCAGCTTATATCGGTTTTGGAAAATTGGGTTTTCTTTGGGCCCACTTTATGTTTTTGTTATTGAAGTTGAATTTTGGGGAATGTCCCCCGTGATAGTCTCTTTTGTCGGTCTGGGGCTCCTCGCATACATGCCCGAACCCAAAATTTTGTTGTGTCTTGAGGGATATTGTTTTTGATTTTGGTGAATTTTTTTACAAAAATTTATCATTTGGGTTTGTGAAATGAGGGCAGTGTAAATTTTCCAGTCTAGTAGGCTCTTTATTTGCGGTTTAAAAATTTAATTTTTTTTGCAAAAAGATTTAAAAAACCCGTGGAGTGGAAATTTTTTATCAAAAGCTGCCTCCTGGTGTTTTTTCTGCAACAATTTTTATTTGCTATATTTCCCCCATTTTGGGTTTCCCCTTAAGTTGAAATCCCCCAGGAGCAAGATGTTGGGTGCAGGAGTTTACCTGGAGTTTACCCGATTTACCTGGAGGAGTTCCGGGGGGCAACCCCCCGGGGGCCCCGCTGTGACCCGGCCTCCTGGGGGGATCAAGGGGTGATCAAACCCGGCTGTTGCTGCTGGCTGCACCAAAACCAACGTACGAGCACATCCCGGGTGATCAGGAACTGATTTTGGTGCTTGTCCAGGCCAGCTTTAAGACGCCAGGGGTCGTTGGTAATCCCCCTTTTGTGTGTGGGGGGCAGTTTTAACAAACTCGGGCCCCTGACGCTTAGGGATGGTCCAACGTGCATGACACCCCTGCTTTTTTGGGGGGGGGTGCATCGTCGCCCCAATTTTTTTCTTTCGTAGTGAGTGATTTTCGTGTGCAAGTTCGGTACTTCCCTCTAGATTTTCCAGTGTTTAACTGTATCTCTCCCCCCTGCTTTTCCCGGAATTCAGGGTTTAGGAACCTCAACGCCCCAAATTTTTTGAGGTGTTTATCTCCGTTTGTGCACCGGAAAGTTCTCTGTACATTTTCAGGTGGGCTTTTTCATTTTTTAAAGGTGATGTTAGTGTGCAGCTATTCCAGCCTAGATAGAACAAGTGCCCTAAAAGAGTGTCATCAGGGGTTTGGCCTCCCTAGTTTTAAAGGGTTTCCATTATCCATCCTGTCATTTTTCTAGCAAGCATTGATACAATTTTGGTCCTATTAAACAAATGGGTCCTACACAGATGCAGCAAGGAAAAGAGTGAGCTACTCATTTCCCAATATGACCGTTTTAGCAAGCCCTAACCAGACGAAGTAAAATCAAAATGAATTTTTTAGGGGGCCAAAAAATTTTTGATCAACAAGCCTACCCATGTTACCCGACCCCAAAAATGACTTCGAACGCGATAAATGAATGTCCATGCACTTTGCCCCGGGGCCAATCAGGGAACTTGTTTTCATAAGCGCGAAGCCCCTAACGACCCCTTTTCCCCCTAGGGAAAGGGGAGCATGGCAGGGGTCGCCCCTCATTTAAAAAAAACAACAACATACCCCATCCAAAAAGGGGGGCAGTAAAGCAACGCAAAGAAGCAACCAATAGCACAAATCCCATATCATAAAAATCTTTGAAAGGGTTAAGAAAAGATCACCACCCATTTGAAACCCCCAGTTACCCACCCAGGGCAACAGGTTTTGAACAGGTCCCCCCTGTCTGTCCAGCCTGGTCACTACGACAAGTCCTAAAGCACTAAAGCAAAAAGAAAGCAAAGTAAAATATACAGACTTTGCAAAAGCCTTCGACAAGTGTGACCTGGCGTAAACGCCAAAAGCGCGCTAAAAGGAAAAACAGGGAAAAATGGTCGATGGATCTAAAATTTTCCTCATAACGAACACAGAAGTAGTCGTCAACAGATTTAAACCCCCGGGGAGCTACGGTGAAAAGCTCGTTCCACAAGGCCGTACTGCTCCCATCTTGTTCTCCCTATACCCGACTAGAAAAGGATGCAGCCACAGCACCGGTCTTCCCTTTTGCAATACCCCCGAATCTGCGGACAGTGTCTCCATTGCGACACGCAAGGCTCCAGGCGGACATCAACCAAATCTTTCGGGACTGCAAAAAACAATAGAATTCAACGATGAGAATTTAAATTTACTCAGATATGGTAAACTGGGGAAAAATTAAATTTTCATCAGAGTACAAAAAAAATTTTGGGCCCACAAATAGACGAAACACCAAACGTCAAAGCCGGGGAGTGATTATGCGGAGGACTCCCTTTCAAGGACCATAACTTTGTATCAATCGCATCTGCTAAAAAATGACAGGAGGGATAATGAGCCCTTCAAAACAGGGACCCCAAGCCCATGAGGACACTTCGGCCCTTGTTTTCTGGGCTGGAATATTGGCACTCTAACAGCCCTTTAAAGGCAGGTGAAATTGCCGACCAAAAAAATGTACAAAAATTTTCACGGCGGCATAACGGAAAAAACACCTAAATTACTGGAGCGTGAGGTTTCTAAACCTGTATTCCCTGGAACGCATGAGGGAGAGATACATGAATATATACAACCTGGAAAAATCCTAGAGTGACCTAGTACCGAACTTGCACACAGAAATTTTCACTCACAAGCAAAAGCAAAAGACTTGGCAGACGATGCAAGCGACCATCCCCCCAATGAAAAGGCAGGGTGTCCTAGCCACGTTAAGAGAACCAAACAATAATGTCAGGGCCCGAGACTGTTCAACTGCCCTCCCCATCACACTAAGGGGATTACCAACAGACCCCTGGCAGTCTTCAAGCTGGCAACAGGACAAGCTCCATAAAGTTCAGTTCCTGATCAGCCGGGCTGTGCTCGTACGTTTGTTTCGTGCAGCCAGCATCACAGCCTGGTTGATCAGGTGCTGGATAACCATCCATGAGGCCGGTCAACAGACACGGGTCCGCTGGGGGCGTTGACTCCCCGAACTCTCTCCAGGTACACTCCAGAAGGTGAGATTCCTCCACATGATCATCTCCCAGTCTTTGATGACGTTGGTGATTCGCTCTATTTTTGTGGACCAGAATTTGTTTTGTACTCGATGAAGATTTAATTTCCTCATGTTTACCATATCTTAGTAATTGAAATTTCTCATCGTTGAACTTCATATTTGTTTCTGCAGCCCACTGAAAGATATGGTTGATGTCCGCCTGGAGCTTTGCAAGTTGTCCTGCAATGGAAACCACTGTCATGCAGATTTCCGGGTGTGCCGATGCTATGCCGAAGGAAGACACGTTGCGTGGCTGACATCCTTGTCTGATGTCGGATATGAGGAAGATGAACAAGATGGGAGCAGTACTGTCCTTGTGGAACAGAGCTTTTCACCGTAGCTGCCTCAGACTTTACTCTGTTGACGACTCACCTGTGTTTTTCTGATAGTGGGGAAATTAGAGATGCCATCGACCGACTTTTCCTGTTATTCCTTTAGCAACGCATTTGTGCGCTATTTGCCATGGTCACACTTGTCGAAGCTTTTTGCAAAGTCTTATATATTATCATTCTGCAATTTCTTTTTGTCTTCTAGTTGCATTTAATGAACCTTGACGTAGTGATCCAATATGTTGAGACAGACAGGAGCGACCTGTTCTAAACCCATGTTGCCCTGGGTTGTGTAAACAGATGGGTTTCTTACTAGAGTGGGTGTGATCTTGCTTTTATGACCCTTTCCAAAGATTGTTTATGAATATGGGATGTTAGGGATATATGGTCCTGTATTCTTTGCTGGAAGTTTTCCAGACAGTGGTCAATTTTATAACACTTTCCTGGAATTGCTGGGAGTTGCAATTGCCGAGGCTTGTAGACTACTACAATGACTAAGGTTTTGGTTCTCGACCTTTACTGCTAAAACTTCCACTACATGATTTGAGGCATTAAGCAGTTCTGTGCAAACAAGTGACTCAGATAAGCTATCTAGATTGTTATAATTCTGGCCAGTATTTTCAATAAATTTAGGCAGTGAGGTTTTTCTGAGTATATTCACCTTGATCTCCCAGTCAAATTTGTGAGTTATTTAAAGATATTCTCCTTCTGTTTAATTGTGTATGTGTATCTATAATCATTTTTTAATTTTAATATACAGTCCACAAACTTATATATTTACCAGAATTCTTGTTGATGCATCTTTCATTTGTAATTAATAGGTCTAGAGCAATTTGTGGATAAGACAGTTGTAGGTATTGAAGGGGGACATTTTTGCGACCTAGGTGTCCCAAATTCCTACTTGTCTATGTAACTGATAAATAATAATTATCTTTGTTATCATTTACTGTTATGTACATAATGAGTTACATTCAGATAAATGTAATTTTCCACAGTAGTTATGAACTATTTACACTTTTATATCTGGTTACAATTGTAATGAGTTTGAATAAATCAGGGACGGGTAGGATTAGAACCCATGATAAGTGAGTTTTAAGACTCACTTGTCATGGATCTACTTGTGAGTTTTAAAACTCACTTGTCATGGATCTACCTGTGAGTTTTAAGACTCACTTGTCATGGATCTACCTGTGAGTTTTAAGACTCACTTGTCATGGATCTACCTGTGAGTTTTAAGACTCACTTGCCACGGGTTCGAGCCCCAGCCGTTCCCTGACTTGTGTGTAATCGTGTTATTACGATTTCGTGAGATTGTAAGTGAGTGAGGTGCGCATGGCTCTGTGCGGCTGCCACAGTGATGGCGTCTATGTTGTCAGTCTGTGGTTGGCTGAGCGGCGGCGGGCGGCGGCGGCTCAGTAGTGCCGCTGCCGCCGCCGCCAGCCGTGTTTACCCTGCACGTTGAGATGGAGGTCATCGTGAAGGTGCTAGTAACACTGCTGGTGGTGGCAGCTGGTGCTGCTGCTGCCACCTACGACAGCATCAACAGGGATGTGATCAACAAGAAGGTGGACAGGAAGCTGGACATATCCTCACAGCTGCTCAAAATTACCAACAAAATCACGCTGGAGAACGGCGGCTCAGGAGCTGTCAGGTCGTTCCTGCTGGCCTTCACTCGTCAAGAAAAGGAAAATTTGTCTTACTTAAATGCTCAGGTGAGAACTTTGCTGCTAGGCCAAGTTGTGTGGAAGTTAAATTATATTAATATAGTTTTAATGTGTGATGACTGTACTGACATGATGGCATCAGTTCTGCCTTGGTCATTGCTCGTGGAATTATGGCATTTTTCTGTAATTTAAAAAATATAGGCAAATAATCACTAAGACATTGATGTAGTAAACGTTTCGCTCCTGGATCTTTATTTTTTAAATACTTTAAGCCGGAGTGTTTCCTCACTTTTTTTTTAAGTTTTGCCGGCATTCATTACCAAGGTTTACAGCTTATGTGTTTTATTCTAATAATATTTTTATACAAGTACATGTACAAGGTACACAGGCTGTGTCTTGCCTTGAAGCAGGAGAAGTGTGAGTGTTTGGTGCCAGTGAAGGGTTGCTGCTCTTAACAGTCTTCACCACCCAGGTAGCCATTCCTGCCAAAACTTTGTTGCCGCGTTAAAATATCCTAATATTATCTGGGAATCCTCCCTGACCCATCCATGTCAGGAGAACTGATAAGGAACAGTGTGGTTAAGAAATTGTATGTCAGACTGAAGTTCCTCTACAGACAAGCACATTGTCTACCTACTGAGGCTCACAGGACACTATGTCTAGCCTTTATATAATGTTATATGGTAAGATTCATCCTGGACCTTCCTTGATGCTGGTGAGGGGCTCTTGATCTAGGGAACTTGCTCCAGTTCCCTGAATTAAGCTTGAGTTCCTTCCCTCCCCCACAGCTGCTGTATAATCCTACTGGTTTAGCGCTTCCCTTTGATTATAATAATCATCCAGGACCAAGAGAACATGTTGGCCAGGATGAATTACAACAACTGGATATGATGAATGTTGAAGACAGAATAAAACAACTGAAGTTAAATCAAGTTTATAAAATTGTTCACAAACAGTGTCCAGAATATCTTGCTGCCAATTTTGTCAAGACTGTGAACCAAAGCAATCATGGTACTAGGGGGAGA